TAAAATAAAGGTATATTTTTTAAAAAACTGTTTAAAAAAACCCCACAAAGGCATTTGCTGAGCTACTCAGAAACATACACATACCCCACACACTCATGCATTGTCCAAAAGCAAGTCACTAATGAATCTCTTTGTCCCCAAGAGCAAAATGCCAGTGTCTGCTCTGTATCAGCCCTAGCAAAATTAGTAGGCCCATTTCAGGGTCTTAGATTGTAGGCCTCATTCTGCCACTCAGTAGTGAGTGACTTGGGCAAATTACCTCTCTGAGTCCCAATTCCTTTCTCTGCAAAATGGTGATGATGATAATAAGAACTATGTCACAGAAAAGGAAAGTAACATTTGCACAATTGCCATCTCTGTGCAGATAGAACGATGTGTATGGAAGTGCTTTGAAATGGGAAAGCTCCATGCAAATGTCTACTGAGTGTATTTTTAATATATATGTGACGAAAGAAATAACATATCCAAAAAAATCAAATAAATCTCCCAATGTCTTCAGTCTTTAAAATCAAACCCAGGTGCATATTTACATTTCTGCAAAAAGACACTTACTACAAATCTCATTCTTCACACAGGGACACAGCGCTTATTAGCTGAAGTCAAGGAGTGGGGTCAAGTACCTCAGAGGAGGTTAGTCACATTCAATCATTTGCAGGTTCAGCAAACACCCAGCAGTGTTGGTTCCAGGCATCAATTCCCCAAGAAGAACATGTGACACACATCCAATAATGCTGCTTGTCCTTTTCCTTTGCCCACTGCTGAATCAACTTTAGTTCATCAGTGGAGTTGTAAAACCTCCTTGTTGCTCAGCCCCATTTCTATCCTTAACCCTATCCAGGGAAATGCCCCCTCTCTCACCCCTGTCATAGGCGTAGTGCTTCGTCCTTCCTTCCCTCAAGAGGGCAGTTTCTTTTCTAATGTCCTTGGGGTAGCAGCGCAGCCAGGTTTGACCTCCCTGATGCGCAGTTGCCTGCACAAGGCTCAGTCCCCAGCCGCTGGGGGTAGGCCCGCCAAGCCTGCTTACAAAAGGCACAGATGTAGCTGTCTACACTAAGCGCCTCGGGGCCTGACCCTGGCCTCAGCAGAGGCGCTGAACTTGCTTCCCGCAGCTTCCTCTAGTCCAGTGCTTCTCAAACTTGACTTCGGCTAAAGGGCTTGTTAAAACAGACTGCTGGGCCCCACCCCCTAAGTTTCTGATTCAATAGGATGGACCGGGAGCGTGACATCTCACTAGTTCCCAGGTGACATGATGCTGTTGATCCGGGGACGCACTTAACGGGAACCGCTGCGGCTTTCTTCTAAAGCTGCTCGGAGATAAAGGATCATTCTCCCGCTGCACGTCCTTCCCAGCCGCTCTCCTGTCCTGAGCACCGTGTGACTACGGAATAACCCCTCAGCACTGGAAGTCGGAGACTAGAAGGCAGGAGGGTTTGTGCTGGTCGGACAGTCGGCAGAAAGAAACTTGGAAGCCTACGGGTCTTGGGTGTTAATGGGGTATTTAACTGATCGGGCTCTGATGACCTGTTTTTTTTTTTTTTTTTTTTTTTTTTTTTTCATTCAACACACCATGATCGGGTGTTAGGTCTAGGGTTTCAATGGTAAAAAGACCGAAACGTCCTAGCTGCCCCGGAGTTCGATACTGGGAGGGAACTATGCAAACGATTTCAAGGCCCTTAACTGTTCTCTGGAGGGAGCATCTAACTTTGGTGCAGGGTGGGTGGGGCTCTGGAATTTGTGAGAGAAGCTGGAGGTATCATGAAAGAATTGGCATTTATGCACAGACCTGCAGTACTTTTGGGAATTTGGCAGGTGGATGTAGGAAGGATTTTCCCCAAGCAGAAAGAATAAGCAATAGGACTGCCCAAGGGTGAGGTTCCAGGGGCAGTGACTAGGAAGCTTGCATAATCAAGCTCTCCAGCGCAGCCTGGTTTCTCCTACCTCTCTAGTGGCTAGTCTGTGTCTCCTCAGCTGTTCCTTGTGAGCTGATGTTCCCCAGGCCTGGTCCTGGAGACCTTTCCTTCTGCTCTCCTTGTTCACTTCCCTGTGAGCTCCTTCATACCTGAGGCCTCACTTACTCCTTGCTCATGAATAGAGTCCATGTCTGTCTCCAGTCGGGGCCTCATCTCACACAGATGTCCCCAGGCATATTTCCTCCTATACTGTCCCAGTGAATGGAACCAGCATCCACTTACCTAACTTATTCTGAGAGCTTTATGAAATGACCTTCTCATAAGTTACTGATGGAGAGTAACCTGGTCCAATATTTTGCTGGTGCTATTTATAAGGCAGAAAATAGGAGGAAAAATGCTTGGCTCACATTTTTGAGTCCACAAAATCCTGACTGAGTGAGCTTGGACAAGTTACTTCTATTTTTAATCTGTAAAATGGGTCTGAGAATACCTACCTCACATGGCTGTTCTATGGATTAAACAATAATAATCGTCATTTATTGGGCCCTATGTTAAGTACTTCTCTCAGGTTGTGAGTACCTAGGTCAAGGAAACACTGTTAAAAAGTACTGAGCCCAGTCTAGAACCCAGAGTTCTCTGGTTCTTAAACCATCTTCACCTCATTGTCACACTATCTTTCCAGAGATTTTATACCAAATAGGAAAATATATATGATATAATGTTAAGTGAAAAGGGGACCATAAATTGCATAATCAGTATGAGTACAACTATGTTAGGGGAAAAAAGAGAAACTAAGCTACAACTAGAAAAGGCTAGCAGGAAATATAGCAGATCATTAAATACAGGTTGTACTGGGGTGATTTAAAAAAAACTTGTAATTTCCTATACTTTCCACATTTTCTTTAATATTTAAAACACTAACAATTTATTACATTGAAAGCTACAAGCCCACAACTTTCCATGTTTGAAAATAACACTTTAGTGGCATTTCCTCTCAATTCTAGTCTTACTTCCCTGAACAGAAACTCTTTGGTCTTTCCAAAGGCCATGCATGGTAGGAAATAGGTATTTCAACCATGTTCACAACCCACCTGACAGCTGACAACCTAGCCACTGGAGCCAGCTGTCAAAATCAGGCCTGTGAGAGGGAAGTTCCAGACAGAATGGGGGCCGCTTCTACCGCCTAGGGCTTTCTGGATAGCGCTACTTGAGATCTGTTACTTTTTTTCCCTTCTAAATAGCCAGCCAAATGCTCTTTTTCCAGTTCTGACTGAGTAGTTTGCTTCAGCGGGCGGGGACCGCTGCAAGGTACCTGGCTTGGTGAGCACCGCCCAAACTGGTCAGGCTAGTCCGCTCCGTGGCTGTTTCTGCCAGGACTTGCCCGTGTGTGTGTGTGTGTGTGTGTGTGTGTGTGTGTGTGTGTGTGTTAGAGACCCACCCTTCTCCACAGCAACCCAGGTAGGTGGAAGGCAGCTGCGGGCACCAGTCTGGCAGTCAGGCCAGATGGGTGGAGCTGAATCTAACCTGGAATTTCAACTTGGCCTGCACAACAGGTGAGGGGAAGAAAGCAGCAGAGAGAATGGTTAGTTTGGCAACTTGGAAGTATTCTTGCGGCTTTGCCCCTTACCCCCTACGTGGAACATAGCCCAGGGTGACTTTTTAAAGTCACCTGTTTGCTCCAGGTTTTAGGGCTTGGTCGCTCCAAGGTCTCTCGGAGGCTAACCAAGCCCCTCCTGAACCCTGTCCTCCTCTGTTACCCTCCGCGACGCGCCCGTTCCCCCTCCTCTGGGAGGCAGGGCGGGGGTATCGGATTAGTCTTTGTTTTCGACGCGAAAGAGCCGAGCGCCGCTTGGGGGAGGCTTGCGATGGCAGGGCCCTGGGTCCGCCTGGGCAGGGCGCTCGGTTGTGACCCCCGCGAGGGTGCTCCGCAGCCGGTCCACGGCCTCTGCCTTCGGGCACCCTCTTCTTGCCGCCCGGGCTGACTCGGTACGCAAACGCGCGATGTCCCCTATTGTCCTGCCTCAGAATGAGAGAGGCAGCCGGGGAAAAGGGGGTCAGTCTGGTCCACAGCTCAGGGTTCAGAGGGGCGCTGAGGCTGTCCCGGACCGCTCGAGCCAATAGGGAGTGGCAGGAAGTGGGGACACCAAGGCCCGTTCGGCCGAGGGCCTAGGTTGGGAGGTCCGCGTGCCCCACCCCGCCTCGCCAGCCTCGGCAGTAGTACCGCCGGAGGGCAGGAGCGGTCAGTCCGAGGGGGACGGCCGAGTACCGGGAGGGCCGGCCAAGGCGCTGGGGAGGTACTGCAGGTGCAAAGAAGCGGCGGCCGGGCCTGGCCCTGCCCCCACCCGCTAGCCGCCTGCCCTCTCCCATTCCTCTCCACCGCGGGAACTCCCCTCTCGCGCGGCCCCGGGCCCGGCGGCGGGCCCGGCGGGGCTCGGCGGGGCCGCACGTGCGCGCCCTCCCGGGCGGGGGAGTCCCCGGGCGAGCACGTGCCGCGGCGCGCGGGGGGCGGGGAGTCCCGCGGACGCCTTCATTGCTGCTGCTGCTGCCGCCGCGGCCGCCGCTGCCTCTTCCTTCCTCCTGCGCCGTCTCCTCCTCGGCCCGGGCGGGGGGCTCCGCGCGTCGAGCGCTGCCGGGCCGGGCGCTTCGGGAGGCGGATGCCCCAGGCGGCGGCGGCGGCCGCGACGGTGGTGGCGGTGGCGCGGGCCGAGAAACTTTGCCCCTTTGTGCGCTCCGCCCCGGAGGCGGCGGGCAGGTCGGTGCAGTCGGTGCCTTTCCGGCTCCGGGGTGGGGGAGGGGAGGCGTGGGGGACCGACCCGGGGGGAGGGGACGGCCCGGGACCAGCGGGAGAGCCGCTACTTTGTTGCGGGGGTGCTGCGGGTCACAGTGTAGCTGAACCGGGTGGGGGCGGCGGGGCGGGGGCTGCGGAGCCACCGGAGCCCAGCGGCCGAGGCCCCAGAACAAAGGAGCCCGAGCGGCGGCGCGCGCGCAGCCCGGCCCTCGCCCCGAGCGCGCCCCCCTCCCCGCGCCCCCTCGGCTGCGCGGGCCACCCTCCCCCTTGGGGCCAGGCTTTGGCCGCAGGCGCGGCGGCCGGCGCGGGCTACCCGCGGGCGCGCCCCCACCTCCAGGCCGCTTCCGTGCAGGGGGCGCTGGGCAGCTTGGAGGAGCGAGGCTCTCAGCAAACTTTATTTTGAAAGCTTTGCTCTCTTGGGGAGGGCCCTGCGGCCTCTGGTGAGGGGGTGTGGGGGAATTTTGGTGAAACTCTCACAAGCCCGCGGGGGGAGGGGCTCAGAGGACAACTTTCTCAGAAATCCCCCCTTGACCACCCCCTTTAAATTCGTCGTCCAGGCACCCCCTAGTCCCCGGTCTGGCCATAGGCCACCTCCCTGGTGCGTCCCGCCTAAGGTTCTGGGCAGGACTTCATTTGAGCAAGCCCCTCTCTTCCCCCATTTTCTCTCTTCCCAGAAGCAGGAAGAGGTAACACGTGAAAGTTGTCCATGAGCCCCGAGTGATGCGCTTCCCCTTTCTGTCTCTTTCAGGCAGCGCAGCAATCTCCATCATCCTGATCCTGGAGGAGAAATACCCGAAGGAGACACCTCACACTGCTGTCCCACCACACACCCATCTGCTCACCTCATGCCCGGGTCCTGGGTGGGTGAGGGTGAAGGACCCACCCAGCCAAGATGATCCCTTCCCTGGGGGCTGCTGCTGCTGTCCTCCCCCAGATCCTGGGCCCCAGCAGGTGGGAGAGTGGCCCCAGAAGGAACCCTGTCAGACTGCTGCAGAGGAGGTGAAGAGGGCTTGAGAAGAGGCACCCATCCCAGAGACGGAAGCTCCTTGTCTTCACCCTTGTAGACTTCTTCACTGTTTTAGGAGAGAAGAACCAGTTGGTGGCCTTTGCAGGAAGCAGGAAACTGGACTGTGGTTCTGCTCCGCACCTATGCCCCCACCTCTGGCAGCATCAGCATCAGCGTCATGAGCCAATTTCAGGTGCCCCTGGCGGTTCAGCCGGACCTGCCAGGCCTTTATGACTTTCCTCAGGGCCAGGTGATGGTAGGGGGTTTCCAGGGGCCTGGGCTGCCCTTGGCCGGGAGTGAGGCCCAGCTGCGATCTGGTGGAGATGGGCGGAAGAAAAGGAAACGGTGTGGTACTTGCGAGCCCTGCCGGAGACTGGAAAACTGTGGGGCTTGCACCAGCTGCACCAACCGCCGCACCCACCAGATCTGCAAACTCCGCAAGTGTGAGGTGCTAAAGAAAAAAGTGGGGCTTCTCAAGGAGGTAAGCTGGACCTTGCTAGGCTCCTCATCCCTTCTTTGAGAGTGTTATAATCATGAGGATCTTGTTAATGATTTGCCCAGTTAAGCCCATTCTCCCAGTTCCCATCTCTTGGTCCAATTTTGAGTGGGGCCATGAATGGGAGCTTAACTGAGGTTGGAAGCCAGAGTGGCCTCCTTTGCTGGGCTGGGAGTTTGATATGGGAGTAACTGAATCGCAGAGGGTTGGCACCCTCATCTATGTTTGCATTTAATACAGGTCGGTGATGTCTAGCTTTATCTCCAGATGTTTCTTGTCCTGCTTGAAGCTTCATGTGTTGTATTTCTAGGTCCCATTAAGTTCTGGGTGATGTTGGCAGTGATGGGTGCCAAGTGAGGGATAAAGACTTATGGATTTGGAAAGCTGTAGAGTGACAGAGTGGTTTTATGCTACCCTGATGGAGTGGAATGTTTCTTTCCCTAAATCTTTTCTTGGGTGCCATCATTTTTCTCAGACAGCAAAAGAGCCATTTGAAACTGTTTGGGAATTTAATGGAAAGCACATGATTTGGGTTCCCCTGTGGTACTGAGTACTTCTTGAGACCAAAGACTATTTTTTAATCTGTGTTTTCAGGACCTGCCACAGTAGTACCTTGACAGGTAGTAGGCACCCAGACACTAATTCATGAATGAATGATGTACTTTTGAACCACTCTCAACCCCAAGGAGTAGTACTCCCTTTTTGGGGGGTAGGAGGATAGAGGAGTGAGGTTGATATTGGGATGAGACAACCAGGGTGAGGGTTAGGGGAGAAATGGAGGGGCAGTGACCCTGCATTGCTGTCTTTCCCTTCCATTCTGGCAGTGGACTGCCGGTTCAAGGTTGGTGGCAGCCTCAACAGCAGAGAGTTGGCAGAAGTAGAGACTAGCGAAGTTGAGCAGCTTAGGCGGAGCGATGTAGCGGCTGAGGTCGCTCCAGGCAGCGGAACTGGCGCTGGACAGAGACACAGGCCTGCGCTGTCTGTGGGGCTCCCCCAGCTCTGCCACTGATCTGTCCAAGGGCCCAGACAATTTAGGTCTCTCTGGACATGTCTTCTCCTTATGGAGGAGTTGTACCTCATGGCCTTTGAAGCTCCCCAGCTGTGTGCTCCTGAGGGTTGGGCACCTGTGGCTGTGATGGGCTGGCAGTTCACACAGGGATTTCCCTGACCGCTGAGAGCAGAGCTGAACTGCAAGCTGGTAGGGCTGTGGTCCCGTGGATAGGAAGAAGGATCCAAGTGTTGGGGGCAGAAAAGTGGGTGTTGCTGGGATGTTTCTATCACTTCTTACCTTCCCTTGTCCGTTCGCTGTGGATCCTGTATGTTAAGACCAGGAACCACAGACTTGGTGCCCTATTTACTCTGTCTCTGGTTAAAACAGACATCTGGATCACATCTGCAGTCCCCCCACCCCAGCCTGGGAGCCAGTGTCCAGTCCCTTTATATTGCTGGGTTTTGAGGGAGTTAACATCCTGCTGGTCTGTTTCCTTGCAGGTAATTTTTGAAAGTGGGCAGGATCAGGTATAGGCTTCATTTCTGGGAATGAGATTTGGTGTTTTGGTGTGAGGAGAACTTGCCCACTATACTTTGTAAAACTTGATTCCTTCACTTCCTTCTGATGTTCATTTCCTTTCCCACACCCCTGTATCTCATTCTGTTCCTCCTAGTAGCAAACCCAATGGGTGAGGAGACTTAGCTTTGTGGGCTTGATGTTCTTGGAACCAGTGGCCCTTGTAAATGATGTTAAGTGCTGCTTTTGGCAACATGGGGGCATACCTGAGTGAAAGGGTCTGGGAATGAGGCCAGGGCCGTGTCTTCCTTGTGTGTAAGCTGCTGGCCGAGGCTGCCGGGTGGTCATGGTAAAGATACTGTGGCTCTGGGTCAGCTGAGGCTCAGAGACGACCGTGCTGAGAGACATCTAGGCCCTGTGGACATTGCTGGCTGAGCCTCCAGGGTCTGGTAAACCGTGGCTTGATGGCCTGTGGAATTCCAGAACAAGGTCCACATGCTTGTTTGTGGATCAGTGCTGTCCCACAATGGCATTCTCCTAGGTTCTGGAGAAACAGTGGGCACAATGGAGTGAGGTTGGTTTTTTTTTTTTTTTTTTTTTTTTTTGTTAAAGCTAACTTTCTTTGACTTAAAGAGCAGTACTTTGTTCCAAGGATAGGTCCTTTCTGCCTTTGATATTCAAAAACATGCTTGCTTTTATGGAGGTTTAGATTTTTTTTTTAAAGCTGTCTTTGCTTAGTAAAACAAAGTGGTGTAACTAGGGTCTTTTTTTTTTTTTCATATTTATATAGTTTTTATTGGTCTGTGAAGGCTGAAGGCCTGAGAACTACCATCCAGGCAACACTGTATTTAATGGGCATATCTCTGGCACAGACACAGAGCTGAGATGTGCCAGAGAGACTCTGCCTGAGCAAAGTGTTTAGCAGCCCCAAGGGACTGCTGGGACATTAACCATTAGATTTTAGCAGGACAAAGCAGAAGGAACATGTTCCAGGACTGGGGTGGTTGTTTTGCCCGTGACTCTTCAGATGGGGCAGGACCCAGGAACTTCAGAAATTAGACCATCTACTTGTATCTCTGCTTGCTGGTATTTCCTCCTGTTAGAGTTGTGTCACTCCCTTGGGCACCCTTTCCTTACTTCATCCTGATTCCATTTCTCCCAGCTGCTTTTCGGGCTTCCTTTGAGCTGTCTGCTGACAGCTGCTTTGTATCATCCTGTAAGGGAAGAAGATTATCTTGGGTTTTCTGTCTGCCTGCCCTACTCCTCATCCTTTGTCCTAGTTGGATTTGAGGAGGAAGCTAGGAATCCCTCAACTCAGAAAAGTAGTTCCTCATTTAAGACTAGAGGATGCAGGGCTGGGATTGTAGCTCAGTTGTAGAGCTCTTGCCTAGCATGTATGAGGCACTGGGTTTGATTCTCAGCACTGCATATAAATAAACAAATTAAATAAAAGTCCATCAAGACTACAGGATACTTCCCAGGGGCAGATGGTTACTTCTCTGGGTCCTAACATGAGGTTGGGGCAGGTTGGCAGCAGCTGTAGGGTATCATACCTGAAGGGGTTCATTCTTGTACCTCTTGTTGCCTGGAGGATGACCCAACACATTTCTTCATTCTGTAAGCCAAAATCCTTCCTAGTTCCGGGAAGGATTAAAATCCTTGACAGAAGCTGTTTGACTCACGTTCTTCTTGACTGAGAGGTGACTTGACACAACAAAAACAGCTGATTAAAAAAGTAGGATTTGGTGGGAATAGAGGCACAGTAGGACTCATAGTAGGGCAACAGGGTTAATCTCTTGAGCATCAGTTTTCTCAACTGTAAAATTGGGTTAACCCGTCTTTTCAGGGTTGTTGTGAGAATTAAATGAGATGCATAAACATGCATAGTGTCTGGCACATAGTAGGTAATCAGTGCCCCATGACAAAACATTCCTAGAATGTGTAGAAAAGAATCTTTTTGCGTAAACAACTGTGCATTAGTCTGACTTGTAAACATGCAATACAAATTAAATGTTTATTTCAAGACATTCTCTAGCTTGCTCAAAGAACTATGATGCAGAACCTTGGGGCCAGGCATCAGGGTGGGAGGCAGCATACCAGGAGCAAGAAGCCACCATGGTCCTGGGCCTGACTGAAAAATTGCCCATGGGTGAGGAAAGTAAAGACCTGATTGTGTAGGAGAATGACCCTTTATGGGGGAAAAATTGGCATAGAATATATGCATCAGGTTGGAGGCATGATTGAGTATTATGGTTGAAAATTAGATAAATGAAAAAGGTGGATGGTTTGAAAACCCTTTCTAGCCCTCTGCCAAGTGGATTTCATGGCTGAAACACATCTTTCTGCTAGGGTCTTTCAACATCAGAACACCTGATGAATTCTTGCCCAGGTAACTCTTTCTTCCTGAAGATAGAGGATGTGAGGAAGGGGGCTCTCAGCAGTAAAGGGGGAATTGATCTATAAAGAGGAAGTGATGAGACCCTTTAGAAAAAGGGACCACATTTTGGCATTTGTGAGGCCTGAGAAAAGTTGACCTAAGACTTTGTCTTTCAACTGCAAGCAGAATTATGGTGAGTGAAAGAAGACCAAAAGACTGATGAAAAGCCCAGTTTTTCAGAGATTTTGGAAATTAAATGTGTTTAATGTTAATTTTTTATAGTTCTAGAACAGGCTATTTGAAAGGTGGTTTGTGAGACTTTAGAAAGTGAAGTGGTGAACTATGGGAGTCCCCATGGTTCTTTAGGAAGCAGCCCAGACAAGCTAAGTTCTGGATTTTGACAAAGAAGTCATGGTGTCTCTGGCCAGCTTTTTGACAAATCAAAGGTCCATTGTTTGACATGTCATGCTGAAGGGAGGTCACTGATATAATTGCCCTGCTCCACTATGTATATCAGGGTTTCCACACTGGGATCATGGGGAGGACGAAACAGTGCCTGGGACCCACCCCACAGGGATTCTGACTTAACTAGTCTGAGGTGGACTGATCGGTCTGGGGCTCTTTGGGTGTATCTGATGTGTGGTTAGTCTTTCATCTGCATCAGAGTCTACATGCTAAGGTGATGGGCTGCTGCCTGGACTCTGCTACTGCAGATTGAGTTCTAGGCCCTCCTGAGTGGTTGACACCTTCACTCTCATCTCACTGCTCAATAGACCCATCAGCATCACCTGGGAGTTTGTTAGAAATGCAAAATCTCTGGCCCTGTCCCAGACTTTCTGAATCAGAATATGTACTTCAACCAGATTCCCAAGTAAGAATTTGAGGGGCTAGTCTGCAGCACTTCTGTGATTAGAAGCAATGGGACATAGAAAAGGGGGCACAAATAAGTCATGAACAGGCAAAAAATTCCAGTGGCTAACCAGATACGAAGAATGACCCAACACATTTCTTCACTCTGTAAGCCAAAAAAATGCAAGAAGTCATGAGATTTACTCCTTGTTTATTCTTGTTCTTTTGGAGTTCTAGTCTTTCTGGTCTAGT